CGAGAAATCTTTTTTCAAGAGCATCGTCTCCTTTGGTATTGCCAATGCGGAACGGGATATTCATCTTGCTTCTATTCTGGGGCTCCACTGGACATCTGAAAAACACTTTTATTATTCCAGCGACTTTTCTGAAATGTGTAACTGCCATTAAGAAATCAACAGAAAAAAATTGTTTAAACATTTTCTAGATAGAAACAGGAGATTAAAAAAAGATCTGCCCCAGGACATGTATAATTTACTTAGGGAAACCCCTCTTATATATGGAACAGTGAGTTAGCATTCTCTCATTATATGACTTGTACTAAATTTCCATGAGCCTCAGTTTCCTCACCTGACTATTGGGAATAATAATACCTCTATTTCAGACTAGTTGTGACAGTTCAGTGGGACAACATATATGAAGCTTCCAACACATGGCAGCCACACAGCAATGTGAGTGACCTTTTCTCTACAAGGCTGCAGAGAGAAAAATGTTGGTCCTATTAACGGCTGAAAGATTTTAAAATGAGCAGCTGCTTTCAAAGCATTTGTCACACTGTACTGTCCCAAGCTGTGTGGCCTTGAGTAAGTTACTAACCTGTTGCAGCTTGCTCACTTTCTTCATCTGTTGAATAGTAGGAAGAATAATGGAACTTACCTCATCAGGTTGATGTGAGGATTAAGTGTATTTATAGAGAATTTTTGTGGTATATTTTCACATGGTCACAAATACTCTGCAGCCCTCCCAGCAACAGATGGGGTCTAGTTCTCCACACTTTTTGGGTTTGGGCTGGTCCTGTGACTTGCTTTGACAGAGATTACAACTAAACTGATGTTGTGCAAATTCCAAGCCTAGGCCTCAAAGGCCCATGTAGCCTTTATACGTGCTCCCTTAAAACATTGCTGCTGCCATGTAAGTAAGCCCGAGCTAGCCTGATGGAAATCAGAGGCCCAGTCAACAGCCAGATCACTCCCAGACATGTGAGTGAGGCCATTTTTGACCACTGGCTCCTGGTGAATTACCAGATGACTTTGGTTGAATAAGTGATCCCAGGCGAGAGCAGCAGAACCGCCCAGCTGAGCCCAGCTAAACCTACCGACCCAAAGAAACACGAGCAAAAAAAACTGTTGTCATTTTAAGTCACTGTCTTGGAGTGTTCTTTGATGCAAAACTAGATAACTGATACAATTTGGAACAGTGTCTAGAACAGAGTAAATGTGATATAAGTATCTGTTAAATTCAGTAAATTGATCTTTTTATTCCCAGCACCTTGCACAAGGCTTATACAGACTCTCCAAAATGATGAGTGAATTTTTTATCTAGGAAAGATTAGGATTTGACTTCAGTTTCTGATTTGGAAAATAGGCAGCGAAAACTATTTTCCACTGACAACCAAAAGAGATAAATGGAAGAGGAACCAACACGCTACTCTGGAATAAAAGAAAAGTAAAATATGTAATAACCTTTTCTCTATTTTCTCAAGGCACATCCTGTCTTAGTTTTACACTTCTACAGAGTGTGTTTCATTAAAATTAAACAGCAAATAAAAGCAGTGTGAGGAAGCCCCCATTAAAATAGTTATGCTCTTCCCTGAGGGCACATACATAATTCCTCTTAAAGTTAATAGGAGTCAAGTGCACACCCACAGGCAGAAGAGACTCAAGAAGGCAAGAAGGGAAACCAAGTATCTCGTAATAGGCTTTGAGCCTGAATTCCGGGCCCCCCCTTTTTTACAAGGTGGTAAGTGTCATGGTTGACATTTAAATTCAGAATTCAGTGGATACCATCTTTTGATATTCTTCTGCTGTCTCAGGCTCCCAATGTGAGGGTCCAATTATAGACATGGAGCAGCAAAAAGCACAGCTAATTTAAGAAGAAATAAAAAACTAAATGGGGGAAGAATGCGGAATCTGTATTTGCAGTTCACCCTCCAACCCCATTTACATATCTTGTCATGAAAGTAGATGATATCATGACAGCAATATTGTCATAAAAGCTACAAATTAAAGATGAAATCTGCATGCAACAAATATTTAGTTTTGCTTAAGAGTGTCGCTGGTAGGAGGCTGACTGAGAGGAGAAAAAAAAAAGATTAAAGGGAATTAACTGCTCCCCATCTGTGGAAGCAGAGCCAAACAAGGAATTTTGCCTGAGGGAAGGTGAAAGGTTTCAGAGGAGGGCACAGGGGAGTGGTTAAGACAGGCGACGAAAGGCTGGCTTTCTGACAGAGAACTTGAATCTGCAAAGGCTGGGGGTCCTCCAGCAGGCTCTCTGATGCTGCTGGAGTGTTCCACCCCACATGAAGGTGGTAAGAAAGGTGACCCCATGTCTGGATATGGACTCACATGGACATCTTTATAATATTAAAATTAATATCTAATATACATTAAGCACTGTGTCAGGAATGTCCTAAGTGCTTTCCATAATAACCACAAATAATAATAGAGCTAACTCTTAGGGAATGTTCCCTATCTGCCAAACACTGTTTCTAGTGCCTTATACAACAAACCAGCGCAAGAGCCCGTGTTCTTAACCCCTATATGTTATACTCTGTATTCACATGCATTTTCACGTAATCCTCACAACAGTCAAAAGAAGTATGTGCCATTATTACAGCCATTGTACAGATGAGGAAACTGAGCTTGAGCAGCAAGGCTATTTGGCAAAGCAGGGCTTCTAAGCCCAAGATGCTATGTTACTCAAGGGGGCTCAGCTTGGGGTCCACCAGTGCCGTGTGGGTGGTTAGGCTACGGAATGAACACAGGGAGTTCTACAGGTGTCTTATCCAATCTCTGATTTCCCTGCCAGAGTCTCCGGCAGCCCTGGGGCAACCCCCAGTGAACCGCCCAGAACTATGTTCAGTAAAGGGGTGGTCTTACAAGCCAGAGGGCATGGAATAGGGAACAAAAACGAGACACAAAGGTGGTGGTAAATGGCAAATTCTAATTCCAGTTTACTCAGTGTTCCTCTTTAAAATGTCTCAGCTCCCCTTTGGGGCCAGAAAGAAAAGTGAAGGATTTCCTGAAAACCCAAGTGAGTACAGGACAATCGAGGACAGGGGCTATCCAGCTGCAAACGCTAAGGAGAGGAGGAATGAAAGCCTGCTCTTTACTCTAGTAACAAGTTCCCACAGGAATATCATGAGCTGGGATGACATTTTCTGGGCCGCTGGCCCAGGGGGTGGACGGAAGTTCCCAGAAAGAGGTTTATTCTGAAGAGGTTTATTCAGATTCTGGGTCAAAACTATTCATAAGTGAATGAGGAGTTCTGGGTGGGAAGATGATTACATTCCCCACAAGAAGACTTAACTGCCATGTTGGCTGCGGCTGTCTGCCTTCTGGGAAAATGCCAATGGGATGCTTGGAGTTAAAGGACCCTGGGGAGAAAGAATTCAGGGAGGGCCAGCCGAGTGGCTCAGTTGGTTAAGAGCTCGCTCAAGAGTTTGAGCTCTGAGCAACAGTGGCTTGATTCCCTGCCCGAGCTGAGCAGCTGCTGAGCTGCCAACAGGTGGCAGGATGAAAAAAAAAAAAAAAAAGAATTCAGGGGATTCCCAATGTTCCTTCTACATTTCTTTTTTGTGTCTATTTCCCTGAATTTTTTTTCCAAGGGCATCACCATTCTTCCTGTCCTCCCATTTTGTGCCCTAAATCTAATGGCCCCGTTCCTTGTAAGAGACAAAAGAGAAGGCACACAATGAAAAAGGAGGCTATGGGAAGGCAGAGGCAGAGACTGGGGGTGATGCCGAAACAAGCCAAGCCTGGAGCCACCAGCAGCTGGACGAGACAGGAATGGCTTCTCCCCTGGAGTCTCCGGAGGGAACAAAGCCTTGCTGGCACCTTGATTCGAACTTCTGGCCTCCAGAACAGTGACAATAAACTTCTGTTATTTTAAGCCACCCAGTTTGTTTATAGTACTTCGTTCCAGCAGCCCTAAGAGACTAATACAAGGTCCATACGTTGTCTGTATCTCGTAAGCGCTGCTCCAGTGGTCAACACATTCACGAATCAATTAGTCACAAGAATGTTTAGCGGGCAGTCAACTCACACCACAGCCAATTCCATTCACAGACTGCAGACCTGGAATGGGGGCATTCATCCTGTAATACGGGAAGCAGTGAACGTCCCATGCCAAAAGTCCCAGGATATACACACATTTTTAAATTCGCAAAAGGCAAAATGTGAGATAAAATTCATTGACTTACACATAGAATCCTTGAGAATTGTCAATAATATCATAAATCATTTGCGATTTGATGGAACTAAGCTTCGCCATGGCTGCTGCACCACCGTTGTTCTTNGGAGCAAAATTGCGCCCGCTGGTCCCATTTAATCATTCTTTCCTTTACCATTCTCCTGGGCTAGGGTGTGATGCATTTGTTTCATAACCAGCAGTCATTAATTCATCAAACTTTTCTAAGCACCCCCACAGCGCCAGATACTCCAGTGGTGAGGCCGAGCTCCCAAGTTTGGAACTGCAGGGTGAGGAATTAGGTTCTTTGCACGTGCACTGGCACAAAATTCCTGCAGGATTAAAGGATGGAAGCGGCAAGGATTCTGGAAGTATCAATGGCCTGGAAAGCCTGGGTGCCCCCAAGGCAAGTCCCTTAAGTTGCTGATTCTTCATTTACGGTTTTGAAACGAGTGAGCTGAAGCCTGGCGTTAGCTCTCAGGTTGCGCCGTCGCTGACAAGCTGTGAGTTTAGAAACGTGAAGAGATATTAACAGGAAGGCGATACCCTTAGGGAGCCGCAGCCCAAGCCAGCGGAGGAGGCCCAGAGCCAGGCCCGGCGCAGAGCCAGCACTGCTCAAACGTTTCTACAAAAATGTCCTCTGGAACTCCAGTGGAGACCCAGATGGGGTTCTAAAACAGAGAGGCCCCCTTCCCTGCAAGAAAGAAGTTCCTCTGAAGTCTAGAATTTCATCGTTTTTACAAATGTGAACTTGGCATTCTACTCCATCATTTGACCTAGTTTCTTTTAATATAAAAATATTTTCTCAAATCTTTGAGCAAAATCGATGTGCCAGGAATACACGCAGTGCCTACCCTGGGGCTTTCCATAGCACCAGCCAGTGTCAACTACTCTGTTTGAAAAGGCTTGTAAGTTGACTGGTTTGGGGCTTTTGTTTGCTTTTTGTGGTGAGTATGTGGGCAGGATGGGGCTGGGATTCGAGGTACTGCTTTGGGTTTGGGAGCTGGAGGACAGTTTCTAGAAAAATCTGAAATGAACAATATCACTGCCTTCCTTGGCACCTTCATTTAGCAAATTGCAAAATTTCATGGAGGTGTTGAAACACAAAATTCAACTGAGTAAATTTGAAGACCTAATTGGCTTTATTAAGTGACTCATGAATCTGGGCAGCATCCCATCTAGTAACTAGAAGGTTGCTATATGCAAAATGGAAGGTTTTTATAGGAAGGATGGGGCGAAAGAACTAATAAAAAAGGGGAAAAAGGGCCGGCCAAGTGGCGTGTTGGTTAAGAGCTGGCTTGGGACGCCAGGGATCCCCGGTTTGGATCCCACANACATAGAATCCTTGAGAATTGTCAATAATATCATAAATCATTTGCGATTTGATGGAACTAAGCTTCGCCATGGCTGCTGCACCACCGTTGTTCTTAATCCACTCCAGAACCAAGCCCATGACGTAGATGCTAAAATAAAGATTAAAACAAAAAATCCATTTAGTTCAGCTTTGCAATAGTGGAAAGATTTAAGCAAACTGTTAAGTTGTACTAAAACAGAGTTAAAGACTTCATTAGACACAGACAAGATGAAAGGGGGCCACGTGTAGACCAAGAACAAGTGCATGTCATGAAGCAAGAATAGGGGCCAATTCTAGGTTGTCCAGGGCAGCCTCTGGGTAAAGCTGAGAACTCCCAGCAAGTACAGGTGTTTTTTTCCCAGGGGGCATACACAGGAAGCAAGCAGTGGGAGAAGGGTTCTTCTCTGGAGGTGAACTGAGACCTTTCCCCAATTCCACCTTCCCACCCAACAGGCAGATCCAGCAGGGTCCCTGGCTCTCCTGGTCTCACAGTTGGGCAGGGGACCTAACTGGACCAATCAGAGCCTTTCCTGGGACTCTCTGAATTGAGAGCAAGGAGAAAGAGGCAGTCATGTGTGTTGGTGAAACTGTGAGATATGCAGTAAGAGTCCAAGGAACATTTGGAGGCAGCTCATCTGAAAAATATGACGCCAACATTCCAGCAGAGAAGCAAGGATCAGAAACGTAGAGTAGAAGTGGAATTTGTGTCCCTGGTTCCAACAGGCCCTGATGCACCTCAGTCCTTCCTACAGCTTGGGACTATCCCTTCCTGAGCCAAATACTTGTATTCTCTGTCACCTGTGAGACCTCAGGGCTCTTGTGGGGACTGCAGGAGATGGGCTGGACAAAGTGCTTGACGTAGGGCCTGGCATGTGGCAGGTGGGCCACACAAGTCATAGTCAGTAGTATATTTATTATTCATTGATCAAAACTAAGCTGAAAACACACGGTGTTGGAAAGCAGTGGGTGGTTTCCCCAGTGATCTTTTGAAAGTCCGTCTTTAAAACGCTGTAATAGCCAGAGGCTTGTCCCAGGGAAGCCCAAGATACTGACTGGCTCATTCACTGTCTCACTTGGTGGCAGAGGACCTCGGAGTTTCCACCCGCAGAAGGTAGAAGCTAATGCCAGGCTGCCCGGCAGGCACTGGGCAGAGAGCAGCCAGAACCCAGAATAAGCAGTAGCCTCTCCGGAAGCTTCCCCAGCCTAGCTCTCTGGGCAGCCCTGTGAGGGCCGAGCAGAAAATAGCTCCTGAGCAAATACAGCCTCACTGTAGCTCTCTGGATAAAGACTCAGAAAATCAGAGGGGCAAAGGAGAAAGAAATAAGAGAAGGCAATGACTATTAATGAGGTCTTCTTTGGGCCTGGTATCCTGCTAGTTGCTCCCCCTTTTATTGATCACAATAATCCTGAAGTCAGCGGCACCATTATCCCATTTTAGATGAGGAAACTGAGGCTCAGAGAGCTTCAACTTGCCTAAAGTCACCCATACAGGGGCTGATAAAGCCAGGATTCCAACCCCAGTCAGTCTGACTCCAAAGCCTAAGCTCTTTTCACTTGTAACAAAGGCTTCTGTTTTACTGGGGCCTCCAGGACCCTCAACCACTATCTCACCTGCTAGTGGGGCAACCAGGCTGGCCCCAAGCATCACAGACACAGCTGCCACGTTCAGCTGCTACACTGGCAATTACAGCACACAAGGGCGTGTGTGGACACATGTATGTTCCAGAAATGACGCTGCCTTGCCAACCCCTCTGCTCTGTAAGATACTCTATAATTCCTATCTAACCCCAAACTGCTCACTCGCCACAAACCACAGAAACACACCCTGTCACAAGATCCAAGCAAAGCCACCCTCATGCCTATTCACCGACAGTACTTTTCGGAGGCCACGCTTTGCTTGTACCTGCAGCTGTTAATCCCAGGGTTCCCAAGCTGCTATTTCAAAAACCAAATCCAAAACTGCAGCAAGGCCAGGCCAGGTCCACAGTCTAAGGCTTGCTGCTCATGCTCTCTGGCTAATCTTAATGCTGTCTGACCAGGCAGTCGGCAC